GCAAGTACTTTATTTATAAACATACACAGAAGTATTTCCCCCATCATCCCATTCTTTTCTTGGGGTGCACCCTCCATATCAAGTCTTGTATACCCTGCTTTTATTATTGCTTGGCACTACTGCTTTTTATTACCTGCCAGACTTGGGAGGGATTGGTCTGAGACTCTTGTTTTTATGGATCCTTGGAGTTAAGATCTGTCTATCATTTGGGCCTGTTCTTGATGTTCTTGTGATTCAGGTGTAATATTAGGATGGAGAAGTCTCTAATACCCTGTAATGGTAAGAGGAGATGACAAACCGTAACACTAGAAAGGACACATCTAGGGGAACTCCCCTCCTGGGGTCTGCAGGCAGGTTGACTCGGCCCCTGAGGACCAAGCAACCCAGAGTCTGCTGACATCTCTGTGCTAGTCCAGCTCCCACCCACCTGGAGAGCAAGTGCCTCAGACCTGCCTCCACCCACCTTGAGACCCATCAGAGTATTGGACCCTCTTGCACCCACTGGAAGAGAACCTTAGACCCATTCACACCAGGAAAGGAAGAGACACCACCTGCATCCACTGGAAGAAGAGATGGGAAGACGACAATATAAGAACACATCCAACAACAGAAAAACAAATATGATGCCACCAGAGTCTAAGGACTCTACACCAGCAAGACCTGAACATCCCAACACAGAAGAAGCAGAAGAGAGCAACCTTAAAAAGAACTTCTGACAACACAAAAAGAAATATGACAACAACAGAGTCTATGAACTCTATGCCAGCAAGATCTGAACATTCCAAAACAGATAAGGCAGAAGAGAAATACCTTAAAAACAACTTCATGCAGATGATAGAGACCCTAAGAGAGGAAATGAGAAAATCCTTCACAGAAATGGAAGAAAAGACAACCCAAAAGATCCAAGAAATCAAGGAAAGTCAAGAAAATACAATTAAACAGCTGAAGGAAACAGTTTAAGACCTGAAAACTGAAATAGAGACAATAAAGAAAGCACAAACTGAGGGAATGCTGGAAGTGGAAAAGCTTAGTAAACAATCAGGAACCACAGATGCAAGCATAACCAACAGAATGCAAGCGATGGAAGACAGAATTTCAGATGCTGAAGACAAACTAGAGGAAATAAACTCATCAAGCAAAGAAAATCTGAAGTCCAACAAATCCATAACACAAAATATCCAGGAACTATGGGACATCGTGAAAAGACCAAACCTAAGGATAATAGGTATAGAAGGTGAAGAAACCCAACTCAAAGGTGCAGAAAACATATTCAACAAAATCATAGAAGAAAACTTTCCCAACCTAAAGAAAGACATGCCAATGAAAGTACAAGAAACCTACAGAACACCAAATAGAGTGGACCCCAAAAGAAAGTCCCCTCGTCACATAATAATTAAAACACCAAACATACAGAATAAAGACAGAATATTAAGAGCAGCAAAGGAAAAAGACCAAGTAACATATAAAGGAAAACCTGTCAGAATTACACCTGTCTTCTCCATGGAAACACTGAAAGCCAGAAGGTCCTGGAGAGATACTATACAAAAATGAAGAGACCACAGATGCCAGCCCACCCAGCAAAGCTTTCAATCACTATAAATGGAGAAAACAAGATATTCCATGACAAAACCAGATTTAAACAATATGTAACCACTAATCTAGCACTACAGAAATTACTGGAAAGAAAACTCCAACCTAAGGAAATCAACTACACTCACAAAAACTTAGGCAATATACATAATCCCACTTTACCAAAACCCAAAAGAAAAAGCAGTGTAAATCCACATACAATACCACTTCCAACAACAAATCAAAAACAAACAAGAATAAGCACTCAGTGGTCCTTAATTTCCCTCAATATTAATGGTGTTAACTTGCCTATAAAAAGACATAGGCTAACAGAGTGGATATGAAGACAGAATCCATCCTTCTGCTGCATACAAGAAACACTCCTCAATTTCAAAGACAGACATTGCCTCAGAGTAAAGGGTTGGGATATGATATTTCAATCAAATGGACCCAAGAAACAAGCTGGGGTAGCTATCCTAGTATCTAACAAATTAGACTTTAAACTAAAATCAATCAAAAGAGATGAAGAAAGTCATTTCATATTCATCACAGGAAAAATCCATCAGGAAGAAGTCTCAATTCTAAACATCTATGCCCCAAATACAAAGGCACAACATTTGTAAAAGAAACATTATTAAAACTCAAATCACAAATAAGACCTCACAGTTATAGTGGGAGACTTCAACACCCCACTCTCACCATTGGACAGGACACCACACAGAAACTTAACAAAGAGACAAAGGAACTAACAGAAGTTATGACCCAATTGGAATTAACAGACATCTATAGAACATTCCATCCAAACACAAAAGAATATACCTTCTTTTCAGCATCATATGGAACCTTCTCTAAATTCAACCACATACTAGGCAACATAGCAAACCTCAACAGGTACAAAAAAATTGTAATAATCCCCTGTGTCTTATCAGACCACCATGCTTTAAAGTTAGAATTCAAAACCAACACAAATTACAGAAAACCTACCAACTAATGGAAATTGAACAATGAGCAATTGTAACATTCCTGGGTCAATGAAAAATAAAGAAAGAAATTAAAGACTTCTTAAAATTCAATGAAAATGGAGACACAACATACCCAAACTTATGGGACACTTTGAAAGCAGTACTAAGAGGAAAGTTCATAGCTTTAAGTGCTCACGTAAAGAAACTAGAGAATAGTCAAACCAGA